CATCAGACAAGTCTTAGACGCGCTAGTTACCGCTAGTTGAGTCTGGAAATGAAGCAGAAGTGTTGGACTCACTCAGAGAGTCGCTTTTGACTCCAGGCTGTTCGCAAAAGTTGATTCTCTAGCAGAATCGAAACATGAAAGAGTTTCTGATTCAAATCTCTTCGTCGTCCAACGTGGTCGGGAAGCCCTGACGGCTCATGGAGAGGACAACGCAACGACCCAACCACTAGCTTCGCCTGCGATTCGTTGCTTTTTTCGGCGCATTTTTCTAGGGATGGTTTTCAATTTCATCCTTCTGCTGCCTCGCACACTCATGCTCATCATCATCATCATCACCATCATCATCATCATCGACATCAGCATCAGTATCATCATCAACGTCATCCTCGACTTCATCATCGAACGCATCATCATCACCGCCACCACTATCGTCATAATTCCTTCTTACATCATTATTACATTATCAGTTGTCGGGTCTGGCTTTGCAGTAATCCCACCGCAAACGCAATTCTAGCAGATGGGGATCGATATCAAGCTTAGGGTCACCTCAAAGTACCCCTCCATAAGAAAGATCCCTTATGCAAGGCCCGCCACAGGATTAAAAGGATCGCAATCTAGACCAGCCCCCTTGGCGCAACCAAAGGTGTGGCCTATCTTTCTTCAACTCATGCCAGCAACTCAGCCATTCATCTTCCTGGCTGTGAGTGAGTTCAGGGTTCTGCATGCAGGAGAGCAGTCGCCCACATCCACAGCCACTACATCGCCCATCGCGACTTAAAGTTGGAAAACGTCATGCTCGAAAGCACCGCGAACATCAAGGACATGATCTTGCCGTAAGTGCCCACCACGCGCCCCCGCGTGCTTGATTGCAAGCCCTTGTGGTTGAAGGAGCCTCACGTAAGGCTCATTGACTTCGGCGCCGCTGCATGCTTCAAGCATCAAGCGCTCAAGACCACGGTGCCTGGACCGCCTTAGCAAAACTGAAGCTGCATATCTAGTTGTCGTTGTTCAGGTTTGGCATAACCAGTTCGTCTCTACACTAGCTTGACGTATTCGGACAGCCGTGGTCTGGGAAAGTTGTTTCGGTTTAAAAGTTTTGGCGCCATCATTTTGGGATGTTGCCGTGCTGATGGTTTTCCTTCCGCCCCAGATCTTCACCGCGCACTACGTGGCTCCGGTGATGCTTGCACACACGCCGGTCTATGACCACAAAATAGACCGGTGGTCCTGCGGCGCCGCAGCCTCAGGAACCCTTCGGCCAGTTATGGTCAGTTGTCCGATAGTTCCACGAAGAAGATGTTACAGCAACAACTTGCTATGCGAACGCTCTGAAACAACAATGAAGCTGTAACAGTTCGCTGCTTCGTGCTGTGGGTAAGCAGCTAAGACGCAGCATGAAGCTGACATGCACTAGCCACCCGGGTTGCGGTGCCACATTACGGTGATGTGAGTGCGGAGCAATATACACATAGCAGTGCAGGGCCCAGCAGTTTAAGTGCATTGAAATGATTCCGGAAGTACGGTTTCCCTTTGAATAGCTTTCCTGGTTCATTCTGTTCATTCTGGCACATGATGCGTAGCTACAACCAATCGTGTTCGCGCACGAAACGCATTGCAACACCTCGGTTGGGAGGCACTGATAGCAGAACAACAAAGAAGTCCGAGAAAGCTAGCATTTGAAACAGCCGGAAGTGGGGTAGGCGTCGATGGACAAGAGAAACAGGGGGACAGTCGATTAACCAAAACTCGATTCCACCACCAATAGAGCAGATCAAGTTACGATACAACGCAAAAGATGCCAGACAACGGCTAGCAAGACAAGGGTGAGTCCACCGGATTCATGTATGTTGCCAACGCGGAACTGTTAACCCAACTCTTTCGCTCGAGCACATTCTGATGTTGGATTCTGAGCCACATCTCATGCAAAACACAACTCTGGCATTTGTGGTCGTAGTGATAGCAGTACAATAGAAGTACTTGTAACATCAACAGTAGCAACAACGGTCAGGAGGAGCAGAGCAAGTAGGAGCATCAACGCTGCCGGGATCAGCATTCTGAAAAGTTCATTATGTTTGTCAAAGCTCCTTGCAGCAACACCATGCTTAGCAGTGCAGTGTTCCTGACAGAGGTGATGCTGTTCTGGATGCTGGCGGGTGGCCCGCCCTTCCCGGGCAGCGATGATCTTGAGATCCTGCGCGCTGTGAAGCTGGCGCTCAAGCCCTAGAAAATTCCCTAAAGTCTTGTTTTTTCGCGACTGTGGGCTGCACGCAGTCAAGGAAGTGGCAGTTTGAGCCTGCCAATGCCTTCTCCGCTGTGGGCCGCAGGTCCTGGTCCTACGAGGGCAGTGGGGTGTGCTGAACTGTAGATTGAGGATTATCGCGGTTTTCCATCGTATCAGATGAATTTTGAGGCTGATTTCCGAGCTGCTTGTCGTCGATGCGGCAAGGAGGTTGAGCGCCTCTGATGCCACCTTGTATGTTGAAGGCACGATGCTGCGACCTCAGCCGATGTTAGAAGCGGTAGTTGCAGTACAAGCAGATAACGAATGCCGCAACACGGAGCAATAGAGCTGGCAGCGGCGCTGGTAGTGGTAATAGTGACATCAGAAATGCACAGAAGAAATGCAGCTGGGGGACAAACATGTCGAGTATCACTACCAGGACCAGAACAACAGTACTAGTAGTAGTAGTAGTAGTAGTAGTAGTAGTAGTAGTAGTAGTAGTAGTAGTAGTAGTAGTCGTAGTAGTAGTAGTAGTAGTAGTAGTAGTAGTAGCAGCAGTAGTGTCATAACTGAAGTACACCAAAACCAACAGAAGCTTTGGGGTTTCAGGGGTGTGCATAAGGAACCCCGAGGTACGTACGTACATACATACCACTCCCCCCCCTGATTTTTTTTTTGGGGGGGGGGGGGGCGGGGAGGTACGTACGTATGTACGTACGTACCTATAACTACCTACCAAACTAACTACTTCTCTTGCTATACTTACTAACGTACATACGTACCCAAGGAACTCCAAGGTACGTACGTACATGCTAATTAACTCTCTTGCTGTACATACTAACGTACGTACGTACCTCCCCCCTTGGGAAACGTACGTACATACATACTCCCCCGCCCTCCCGGCGCAATTTTTTGCCCGGAGGTACGTACATACATACTCCCAACCCCCCCCAGGAAATTTTTGGCCGGAGGTGCGTGCGTATGTACGTATGTACCTGCTTCCCTTTACCTACCCCACCCCTGGCAACGTACGTACCTGCATACTCCCCCCCCTCGTCCCCCTGTCTTGCAATGTACCCACAAACCACTTCGGGGAAGGTACGTATGCACGCACGTACCCGGTTAGGGTGGTGTGCTCATGCTGTGGATTTAACGACTTCTGGTTTCCAGATGTACTTAGGCGACCCCGCTCATGCCACCGAAGGCGGAGTGTAAACCTCAAGCTTTAAATCCAGGCCTGGACCCGCTAGCCCTGAGCCTCTCAACCCTAGGCCCCCACACCCTGAATCACTGAATCCCTAAACCCTTATCGCCCTGAACTCCCGAAAGTAGCTCATGAGGCGCAAATCTTCAGAGCTGACGGCTACGTGATCCACACAGGTGACAGACGCTTGGCAGCCATTGGCAGCGCTTCAGTGCCGTGAGTCACTTGTAGACTGTAGACTGGCTTTTGTTTCAATCAAACCCCAGGCAGGACGATTCAGATCTACAGGGAAGATGGCACGCTGCACCCAGGCCCGACCCACTATCGTTGCTTCCTCTAAGCCTTACTCCTCCCTGGTGCTAAAAACCGACCCTCACGCCGTAAATTCTGGACTTTGACGACACACCTTCTCTACTTGGCGTTCTGCTGCACCCGACCTGAATTTGACTGAGGTAACCTAACTCAGTAGATGTCATATGAGGGGCGTATCACGGGTGCTGTTTGCAAGCTTGAAGCGGAGGCCGGGGGTTTGGGATAGGAACATCCCCCTCTCGCTCCGAGGACTACCGAGCCGGCCAATGCCAGCTTGGGGCTGTGATCGCCGGGGTGTGCACCGAGATGCTCAATAGGGGCAGTAGCCTGCAAGGTATCGGTAAGTAAACTTCCGCCGCCGAGATGTCGTTGAGTGCGCCGAGAAACGAGAGGTCTTTTCACCACCAGACTAGTTTGTTCTAACAGTTTTGCAGCATGGTTGCATGCTTTTGCATTTTGATGTGCAGCGTGGAATGGCAGGTTTCAGACAACACCACAACTAGTATAGGGAACTGGCTAAAAAATCGTCATGGTTTCGTACTGACCATCTCAAAGGTGCTACGGCTGCTACGTATTTTCTGCGCAACGATCGCCTGAGGTGAGGGACTTGCACACATTTGTAACTTAAAGCATAAACAAAATGAATGAATAGACAGGCAGAGAAACAAGCAGACAATCAAATGACGAAAGGGTCGATGAATAGATAAATGCATTGGTACATCAATGAATGAATTACTCATTGCGTGAGTATGTAACTAAGCTCATGAAGAAGAAGATGAATCAAGTGGCATGTACATCCACACACGCACACACGTATACAGGCCCCCACGCCCTGAATCACTGAATCCCTAAACCTTTATCCCCCTGAACTCCCGAAACTAGCTCAAAGCCGTGTTGGCACTGGCCGATTGTGCAGAGATCGGCTTGCCATTGCTGCGGCCGTGAGCCTGCAGTGGCACGAGGCGCGAAGCGAGAGGGGTCCCTGTCCTTGTCTCGGCTTCGTCAACGGCAACGATTTCACAGTGTCTGGGCTTGGGGCAGCTGTGTGGCACTGTAGCAGAGGGATGCAGATGTCATGCCAGCAGGAACCTGCCCAAAGTTCGTTGCTGTCTCGAGTCAACTTCGCATCGGCTTTTGAGGCTAAGCTAGGCTTGGCAGCAGCAACATTTGTCAATCCGAAGCGATTGCAGAACTGCTACACTGCTTTGCCACTTCAGTCTCATATTTGCATATAGCATTGTGCAACGCAGACCTTGGCTTCGTATGGGCATTCAGCCATGTCGCTGGCTTTATCTCTTCCAAGCGCTGCAGACAGCTGGCGCGTTCTTTGTGCCGCTGGATGCTTCAAGCATTCAGGCACGAGGTTGTGCAAACGTTTGTCGTTGCAGCTCTACCAGAGTGTCCGGGTCCCGACTGCAGAATGTCATTGAAAATGCTTCGCCCCTAAGCCCTAAATTTTAAAATCCCCATAAGTTTTCCTCTCCGGCCCGGCATTGCTTGAACCAGCGAGGCCTTGTACGGTCAGTTTGCCTTGCTGGCAGCTTGGCGCAAGGGTACTGACGCAGGCCAACACTAAGCTGAAGAGTTCCATTGATGCCTTGATGTCAACTGTAGCAGCATGAATGACAGTTCCAAGCAGACAAGCATCGCTGCAATCCAAGGAGATTCCCAAATCGAAATGTCAATACAAGGACCGTTATGCCTGCCACAATGGTCACTTTCGCGCAGCTCAACAATCTCAGCGCCATCTCTCTCTCTCTCTCTCTCTCTCTCTCTCTTTTCTCTTCTCACTCCCTCTCTCTCTCTCTCTCTGTCTGCCTGGCTTCAGCATTGCGCGCTCTGCCTTTCACTCTGGTACTACTCTCGTCAGTACGCTCCCAGTAGTTGGATGAGGATACTGGTACTTGGAATCCGCAGTGTGTCCATGGGCTGGACGAGTTTGCTGAGTGTGAGCACCTTGGTTTGCCATGATGTCTGTTGTCAATGGGCACGAACCAGGAATTTCTTGTTCTGCTTCAATGCAACTGCACAGTACTCCACCTCGGTCTGCAGGATGCCATCGGCTGCAGGGCGTTGTAAGTTGGGCGGGCACTGAGGTACAATGGATACCAGTACTCGATGGAGTGGTACTTCATTCAGATGATCCGTGCCTCTTGTCATAGGCTAGTGCCCTGTGTATGAACTGCTTCATTCTAGCCGCTTCGACGCCTCAGCATGGCCTGGCAAGGAGAGCCAGCGGTACCGGGCAGAATCTCTGGAGAAGGCACCCGTGTTTTGCAGCAACTTCCGCGTGGCTCTCACTTGCATAGCAAGGGCATGGCCGCCTTGGCGAGGCACAATTCATCTACTTCCCGCAGTGCGTGTCGCAGATCTATTTCGCACTCCGACAGAGCTACAACCTCACGCACTGGCAGGCATTTCCACCGCAGTCCGCAGTGCTCGGTTTCTGCCGGGCAGGTGCTGTTGATGCTCTGCCCATGCTTGCTACGAAACCAGGCCATCGAGCGAGCTGAATTGGGCAACTCGTCGTCATTGCTTTGCGTACTGAGCTCGAAAGCTGAACTCCACCAGTCACGAGTCACGAGTCTTCAGCTCCCGAGCCAACTCTATGTTTTTGCTGGTGGCAGATGGATTCGGGTTTCATTGCGCTGGGTCGGATCTTGATGAGGCTACTTGGTGCCCATTCTGCGATGGGCGCATGCCTCTCCTGCACATCGCGCGCGGCTTGGACGAGCTTTATCCCGGCCAGCCACGTGAGTCTTGAAGGCTGCAGCCTGCGGTAGAAGCTCAGACTTTGCAGTAAGGACCGGCGGTGTGAATTTCTGGACCGTCTTCTCCATGGACTTGGGCCGACAGGACTGGAACTCTCCCCCTCAATCCACACTTGCCTCGTCCCGGCATCCCCGCACGTTTGAGTTCAGGACTTTCCGCGGAGCGCTGCCTGGCTGCAGCCCTGGAGCATCGGCTCCCTCACAGGGACCCCTGGGCCTTTTGAACGAGTAGGGCGTAGGGCGTGGGGTGCGGCTCTACGTCGTCGAGGCCTTGGGGCCTTGCGGGCTGCAGGAGTCCTACTTGGACGATCGACCAGCAGATGCTGCACAAGAGCGCCTTCCAAGGTCCCGCAGAATCCATCAATGGTGCAATCTTGCCGTCTTTGCACAGTCGCATCTAGAAAGGATCATCGTCAGACATTAACAATGAAACGGAACGCCGCTCCTAATCGGACAGGAGAGGTTGCCGCATTTGGAGTTGAGCTTGCTTCTAGAATGGCGAGCTTTATACATTTGAGTATATATCCAGGCATGTGCTTCATTGAGGATGCAAGAGCATCATCCTAAGCGCGATTGCTGTGTCTCTCACTGAAGTTTGGCGAATGTGCTTTCCACTAGTTCCTGAATCTGCGATGACTCCAGGAGCCACTTCCCAGGCCACTGACAGCTGCTGGGAGGAGGCGACTGCTTTGGATGCTTCTCTGCGACCTTGAACAAATGTCTGCCGCCACAAGCCGCATCGTTGAGGTGTTGTAGGTTGAATCTTCGGCGTCCGTTGTGGGGGACCTTGCAAGGACACCAAGCCAGTGGCCTTGGCAAACGAGATGTTCCCAGCTCGCCTCTAAGCTGCACCGCAAGGTCTACCCTGCGTCTACTCTTCGCTTTGAGTCTCCGGCTCTTCAGGTAGCTTCAAAGAGCAGGACACGGTCATCTCCATTCCGTCCAGGCGCTTCGTAGTTCCTGTGATTTTCGTAAGCTTGGCAGTTGTGTTGCAGCCGGCTTCCCGGAGGTTCAGCCCGCATCCCCGGTCCCGGCGCTTCGGAGGCTGGAGCAGCAGCTCAGCAAGGGAGCTAAGAGAGCTTGCGCTGAGAGCAAGAGCTCTGTCTCCGCAGGGCGCCCTGTGCTGGGCTTCTTCGCCGGGTCGCCAAACTCTTGCGCAAGGACAAGGTCGGCCAATGCTTCAAACCTGCTGAAAACTCACCAAACTGACCTGAGCAGTTGGAAGGACATCGCATACGAAATCATACAAAGAGTCAGACATGTGAAACGGCTGCCTCCTGGCTCCTGGCAGCCCGGTTTGCAGGGTGCTGGCAGCACTTTCGGCGGAGCCTGGATTCGAGCCCCGGCTTTGACTGACAGATCTGAGCTGTCCTGTCTTGATGTAGTTGCCGCTAAAGCATATACCGGCGATGCTGTTCCGCCTGTGCTGCCGAGGATGTTTCCACAAGTTTCGCCAAGGACGACGGCGACTATCGCGAGCGCATGTGGCGAGCTCGATTCTGCTTCGTCCTTCGAGGACTCGGGGGGACCACGGGGGCACACAGCGGCCTCGCCGCAAGGTGTCCGAAGGCTTTGATCTGAAGCGAAGTGGGCAGATGATTGTCGTTTGGTCGCTCTGCTCTGTGGCAAGGATCCTCGCACACGAACAACGTTCGCCTTTACGACGCTTTGCGGGAACATTGATTCACAGGTAATCTCGAGGTGCTGGTTGTTCAGCTGAAGGATGTTTGAGCTCACACATCAAGTAAAACAGGGAAACGAGGAGAGGGGCAGAGACGGACAAGTAAAGCATCAAGCTGGCTTAAGCATTGAAGTAGGCATTCACCTGACAACACGCGCACGGTCAGAGGCACAGCTCAGCGAAACAGCAAATTGATAAGCGAGCCGACGAAACAACAGCACAGTAGGAGAAATGTGTAGAGAGGAAGAGTCGGCGACAAAAGGGACACGCAGATGCGTCAAGACAGCAGGAGCTGTAACAAGCCACGAGAAGGGTACTGGCCCCACCAACCTGTTGATCTCCGATGCATCTGATGCTTCCAAAGGGCTGACATTGATTTCTGCTGGCAAGTTTGCACACCAATAGACGGAGCCTTCCACGGAATCCACCGTGAGTCGGGTGTCAGGATGTCATGGCGCACGGATGTGTGCCAGTGGTCGTGTCCGACGACTTCCAAGCTCCTTTGGACAGGCAGAACGAGAGTCACCAGTTACTGTACCAGTGGGCAAAGAAGGATAGGTTTCCCCAGGCAGATCCGTGGAGCAGAAGCAGAGATGACGTGCGACAGCTTGCAAGTGAGATCAGCTGAGCCAGCAGCTTCTTTGCAGGCTGCTTCCCTGGAGGGAGATGGCCATCTTCTTGCCCACGAGCAGCATCCCGAGGCAATGAACCTCTGACAACGGGGGGCGGGGGCAGCCGACAGGGAAGAACACTAAGCCGAAGCCGGGAAAACGAGCATGATGCGTGGAGCACAGGCTGGCAGAGATTCTTCGGCACGAGATCACCGAGGCTCGCTACTCGAAGTCGTGCGGGGAGCGGGGAGCGGGGGGAGACCTTGGCTCCTTGAGCGTCCTCTTTTTGTCGGTGCCAAGGCCGATCGTTGGCGCTACTTTCAAAACATCGCGCTGGGCAGCCCGCCAGGCCAGGACAGGTTCTCTTCAGTGCTTCGATGAATCCGTCTCTTTCCGTTCGCAGTGTGATGAAAGGTGCAAAAGGTTTCCCGGCGGATGTCGAAATGGCAAAGACGATGGTAGCGGCCAAAGGATTGGATGAGGCCGCCGGGGTTTGGTTTGCTCCGGAGCCGGGGCATGTTCTTGTACTTCTTGGCTTGCACCGAATGCACCGATATGCCTGCTCGACACACCTACAACGAATGCTGTGGCTGCAGCAACTCCCTAGGTGGTTCCCGCCACACTCCTCTGTAGAAGGTAGAAGTAGAAGCATACATTTTAAAGGACAGAATCATGTAAAGCGAGGAGACGCTTTGGAGTGGCCTCTCCGCCAGCAAGGCTTGCCAGCGCCAGGGTTGCCAACGGCGAGCAGGGAGTCCATCCAAGCGTTCAGTTCATTGTCGTAGCTGTCTGAAGGTTTTCGAGTGGCACGACAGCCATTTCTGGATGCTCTTCTTTGCCGATGTCGCTTCCAAGCTGCGCGATCGAATGCAGAAGGCCTGCCATGGCCGAGAAGAGTCGAAGATGTTGTATTAAAGAGCCTGAGAGCCCTGAACCAAGGCCAAGGAGGCCTCACGAATTCGCCAAGGAGCTCTGCGGCCCGAACAGAACGTGACCGAGGCAACGACGTCTGAGCTCCTGGTCCCTCGGCCACTAGTCGCGAGTCCCACGATGTCGCACACACAGCGGCGCAGCCGCTCAGCGGCTCAGCGGTCTTCCGCTACATCTTCCAAGGCGGCCTTCCGATGGCTCCTGGACCTGAGCAGGCGGCGCGAGCAACGTCACTGGGCTTCAACACGACGCCGACATCGGTGAGAGCAGCCGTATCCTGCTTTATACCTTCCCTGCAGTAGAGGAGTGTAACGGGTAAGGTCCCTGGCTGTTGGTGGCTGCTGGTGGTGGCGTCTCTCCTGGACTCTTTCGAGCACTCGGAGGCTTTCGAGAGCTGTCAGACTGTCAGAGCAGCCTTGTCCGAGTCGTCGGCCTTGAGGCTGGGCCGACATTCGCGGCTGCTGCCAGGCTTGGGCAGGATCCTGACAATGCCAGACTATTGGACATCATGTTTCGTTTTTTATATCAACGCGACGTAGACGATGTCAGAAGCATGGTGACCATGAGCTTTTGTCCCCATCTTATCCAGTCGTAACACGTTGAACCCGTCAGAAGGGCGTATTCCACAGTAGGGCTGCAGTTGTGCGAGAGGCACGGATGCTTGCCGTTGAGTGGCAAATGTCGCAGAGGACTGCGCTGAAGCTCCCGTCAACGCCCAAGTTTCCAACCTAGCGTGCTGAAGGTCAGGCGGCTCGGGTTTATTGTTGGAACTTTACTTAGCTCATGCAGGGTGCTGGGCCACTCGCAAGGAAATGGAAGGGTCGAGGAACGACTACCGCGACGAATTCTGCTTTTGCCCTCCCCAGAAATGTTGGCTGCTGGCCGAGGCAGTCGGTGGCTCATGCAGAGGAACGGTGTGGAGAGGTCGCATTCGTGGATCAGGACTTGTGGTTGCAATGGTTCAGAAATGCAGATGGAGTTGTGTGTATATGTGAGATGTGCATTAATCTCTGCTTTAATGTACGTCAATATATATGTACATGACACACGTGCATACAGACATATGTGCTACCTACGCACGTACGGACGTACATACATACCTACGTGCGCACGTACATGCATACATACTACATGCATACATGTATACATACCGGCACATTTACATGCACGTCTGTATGTATAAACGTGTGTTGCATCCCAAGGCTTGGGGTGGTTCCTGGTTGTGCGCAGCAGCTAAAGCAAGAGTGGGCAAGACCCTTTGTTGGCTGCATCTGCTAAGGACACTGACTTTTCCAAGCTCTACCGACATCACAAATCCGTCCCCGGTTTCTGCGGAAGGCGGAGACGTGCCGAACGGAGGGCTGTTGTCGCGAAGTCTCACGATTTGATTTGGGCCTCCTGAACTCTGAATTTGACCTGCCGAAGCCAGATCCCGGACTCTGTGCAGGCGCCGATGTGAAGGAGAGGAAGCCGCATCCACCGAGAAAGCGAAGCATCCAGCAGACATCATCATGCAGGCATCGCCACTGCGTTGTGTCGTAGCGTATGGGCTGAACTCCTGCAATCTCTGGTGTGCAGGTTGGCAGGCGCTGTCATCCAGATCGCATCTCGCTTGCAGTACCCGTCACAGCGGTCACGGCCGAACCGGTCTCTCTGTCGTCTCGTCTGGGTCCTTAGGACTCAAGAAGCTCCTGGAGCTCCAACCTCGCTACTTGTGGCTGGAAGGCGCCCTGCGGCCGCAGGGCCACACGGCCATACGCCTAGGGCCTAGGGGCGTTTCCTTTCTCTTTCTCTGCCTCCAGGTACGAGCTCCTCACGCCCGCGCTCCGAGTTCCTGCGAGGTCTCCTGCAGGCGCTTGGAGAAAGCGCGGCGAGGGTCTCCGTCTCCTGAACGCGTGACGGTCTCTGCAGGAGGGATGGCTGTGCTTTCATGCGGTGGCTTGGTGTCAGTTGCAGTTCCGGCCGGATCGGATTCCAAGTCTCGAGACTCGAGTTCAGGTCAGGTCACGTTTGTCGCCCGTTTTCGAGCCCTTCACTAGCGAGCTGCGGCTGGGCCCAGGCGGTGCCCTTTGTGCAAAGGCGCATGGCGCAGGGGAGAATGTGCTTAGGAAGTTCATGGCCACGTAGCCTGGCAGGAAACTGACGAGAACTTGGACCTGCTCTTCCGGCTAAACCCGAAATTGAGGCACGGCCCTGAGCGCCTCAGCAGCAAGCAGTGCAGGTGCGAAAAGACTACAGGGTGAAGTGGTGTGATGTTATAGCCGGCAAAAATGGCAGGCGCTGGGGTGCACAGTTCATCTTCAAGCCCGAGACGGACAGTGACATGAGTGTCATGAGTGCATGCATTGCTGTACACCGATAGACGCACCTTTCAATCTAGACAAGTTTCTTCCACGGGCCCGTCAACAGCTCAAGTGACCTAGTGGGGCAACAGCGTCTGTGACTTTGGAGGAGGCCGCCAACACACGGGGTCGTTTCTTGCACTCTTTCAGCTAGACCTGGTCGACAAGATCCGACAGGCAACGCACCGCAACGCTCCGGACATGGGAGCAACGCCAACGGCCTCTTTGCTGCCAGAACCACAAGTCAGTGCAGCTCCACGGGGCCGAAGTCGAAGTCGCCGAGCTCTGGAAGACGGGACGCGCCGACCGCTTTGGACCCTGAGGGCCTGAAGCTCGCCGAGGACACGTCGGCAGGTCGGCAGGACCTTGAGCTACATTGTTACATGCTGTGCCTGCGCCATCACTGAGGGGCAGCACAGAACCCGCTGCATCAGAGCTGTTCCCAGCCCACCAATGTGTGGTGATCACATGCTGTAAACCAGAATGCAAGACGATCCGCGCCAGCGACTTGGCAGTAAGACTTTTTCCCTTCTCTTGTCCAAGACAGGCTAGATGTGCATGGCAAAAGCCGACTTTCGTCTCTTGAGAAGCGGAGAAATGAGACGTCTTCTTAGGCTGCATACTGGAACTCTTGACGCTTTCCCGGTGCTCTCTGCATTGTGTTTAGTGACAGCTCCGCACCATTGGAGTGTCACAGTTGCTGATGCTTTCCCAGCTGACGAATGCAGGCCTTGGAGTTGGACCAGACCGGCCAGGGCAGACGAAGAGCGGTCAGAGTGCAAGACAAAAGTGCATCGAGTGCTGAACCATCACATGTTTCTTACCGCAGAGTGCAAAAGGATGGGGAGAAGTGTTCCTTCTGCATCTTCGGAGACTTTCGGCTCAAAGCCGAGTCTGCCACCTGTCGCAACAAGCGCCGCTTGGCTAAATGTAGCCTCCCTTGGGTCGCGCGGCAGTACCGGTGGGGGGGCAGAGGGGGTTCTGGCACAGCTGCGGAGCTGAGGTAGTGGGGCCCAATGTTCTTCTGCTGCTGCACCGAAGAACGAGAGGGCTTCGATGCCGTGCCAGTGGCACCTCGGACGCAGCGAACAAGATGCCTGAGGCTTCATGTTTCTCGGGTGGATCTGAAGTGCGAGCACACCACCTTGGTAAGTTGAGTGAACCGGCGCAAGTGCTCCAAGTCTGCTAATTTTGAAGTTGACAAGTCGACAGCGCCCTGCTGCCCGACTCTTTGGCCGAGGATGGCACCGAGCGCACTCCGCAGGGGCTTATAAAGTCGTCTCCTGCCCTGGCGGAGTCAATGACGGCACCTTGGCGTGCAGACCTGTTCCAAGCGTGTCTTAATTATTGGAGTATGGTTTTGGAGTATACTAGTAGATATAGTCCTAGTCTCACATACATATACATATTATATATATATATATATATATATATATATATTTATATATAGCATATACTTATACCTGCCCTATATAGATACTATAAGACGATAAGGGATTTAACTACTAGTAATTATTCAGAGCTTGTCTGAGCATTTTTGTCAGCTGGCAGCTTAGATTGAGACCAGTGGAGTGGGGGATGAGGGCCCTATTCCAGAGGTGGATGGATTTGGAGTTAGAGAAGCTGCTGTTGGTTGGCTTTCTTCCGTGCTTCGAACCAAGGCCGAGAGTGGCCTCTACACAGTCCAGCTTGCACGTGGAGCAGATCGGAAGTGGGATTTGGCGCTGGAGAAGTCGGATGTGGACTCTCAGAGTAGAAGAGATTGCAACCGGCGACCACCGTGAGGTTAACTGTAAACAGTGCCTTCATTTGGCAGCCTGGTGGTAGGACCATCTGATGATCAAGAGGATGACGAATGCTGTGACGGAATGGAACAAGCTCCTCGCCTGACTCTGTCTTTGTACTCCTGGTTTTTGTTCTTTGTCGCGCTACAGCTGAAGCTGAGAGGTCGAGCGACGAAGGTAGGCTGTTCCAAGACAAGCAGAGCTCACGAACACACGCAGTGAAGGAAGGTGCAGGAACATGTAGAGGGTGCTTCAAAGGACTGCCTTCCGGAGGAGCCTAAACGAAAGAAACATGAAAGCGCCATGGGAAGTGCTTGTGATCCTCCGAGGAGCAACGCCACAAATGCGCAGATCAGCGTCTACGATCGGATCGTTGAAGTCAATGGCCAGCGTGCTTCCGGCAAAGAGTTGGTCAGCTCCCCAGTTTTGGCCAGTCATTGGACTGAAGATGGATCGGATAGGACCGCCAGGAACCGGAAGCCTTAAGAGCTTGCACAGGGATGCCTGCAGAGCCCGAGGCGAAAGCTCTCGAGAACACCCCAGACGACCAGGCTTCATTGGCTTTACTGCTGTTATTTTCTTCTGATCAGACCGCAGGCAGAGTTCCCACCGACACCGAAGTGCTTTCGAGGTCGCTTTGCTACTACAGCGGCCGCAGACAAGAACACTCACACTGAAGCGGCCAGGGAGCCTCAGATGATCCAAACATCTACCGAGATGGAGTCAAGAGAAGGGGAAGGGGTTTGCGATTCGGTGAATTCAGGAGCCTCTGGGCTGTCTCGCTCGCGAGAGTTGAAGCGTCTTGCGGCGTAGCCTGCGCGCCTTCAGGATTGAGGGAGGGATTCAGCTGAGGAAGCTGGGAATTATCGCAAACTACATGCCAAACTATTCCCTCAAGCCGTGGATCGACACCATTGCCGAAGGGCTGGTTCGTGAGTGGAACAAGGCAAGGGGCACTGCCACACAAGCCTGGCGGAAGTGTTGCGCGGACGGTCCCATTCGCGAGGCGCACCGAGATGCCGCAATCCGAGAGCACGACCGGATACTGTCTGTCAATGGTGTGCCGGGTTCTTAGCCGGGTTGGTGGGAGCTTTTGCAGAATGCAATGCTTTGTTTTCGGAGCGACGGTGATAGCCTGCAACAGAGCCCATTCGGCTTGCTCTGCGCCTTTCGTCTGGCAGACCTGCAGACCCAGGTCCAACCCACCGGAGGACGTGGTCCACCAGATGCGGAAACCTGATGCAGATCTCGAAATAGTCTGCCTGCACTATCCGAACATTTAGGCCCAATGTAGCGGGATTGATGTAGTGACCGGCAAAGGAAAGACAGAAGCTGCCAAGCACATCCGCTGTATGGGAAGGGGCCTTTCTTCCAGGATTGGATGATTGCGTCTCACAAACGTGACACTTTATTGCTGCTGCACAACGGGGGTCTTTGCAAGGAGATGTAAAGGTCGGTCTTGTGACATAGAGTCTTGGCGTGTTTGGTGCAGAGACAGGGAGGCCCATCTTGCAGAGACTCTTGTAGACACGACTTGCCTCTGAGTCGCTTCAGTGTATCCTAAGATCGGTTCAGCAGGCCAAGTTCCAGTAAACATGGACGTGTGCGAGTTCCAAAGTGGTGTGCTGGCAAGCGCACGGCTTCATGACTGCCGGCATCAAGCCTGACCACCATTTCAATGATCCTGCTGATTTGCATCATGCTACGATGCACTTTGCTACTGCACTGGGCCTAAGCCAGCTGCCGTTTGCATCGCGAAGTGGAATCTGCTGCGTCCGTGTCATTCAGAAAGTTTTGAACTGACTCGAGGGAAGCCATGATCAGAGACCACGAAGAGTGTTTTATCCACAATCCTAGGTCCTAGGACAATGCTTCAGAATAAGAAGACTGCTTCGGCTTCCTGAGACCCAGGATTTGCAACGTTTCCTGAAGGGAATTTCTACACTTCGAAGATCTATGAGGAGGAACGGCATGACGAAAAAGCTTTGCATTTAAGATAAGGATAAGGATAAAGGGCTCCAGGCTTTACGGCTTGAGATGCTTTTGATTGGACGTACAATTTCTGTTTAGAATACCTGCATAGACATCCTCATGACACTTGGCCCCACATCAAGTCCTGAATTAAGCCCTAAGCCCTAGACCCCCAGATGCCTCAACATGGCAAGGTCTCTCGATTGTTTGGAAGGTTCTGGGCTGTTTCGTGGTCCATGCTTGCCTGGTCATCTCGTGCGACATCTTGTGGTAGTCAATGTTCGTCGACATTTAGGTCTTGCCGTCGGTGCTTGGCCCAAGCAAAAGATATGAGTTTGAGTCTTGGCTGGTTCCGACACGTTGAGACGTCGATTCTATCACTTGATTGCTAAACCGTGGCTGTTGCAGCATTACCAGCAGTGTGCAATTGGCAAGCAACAGCAAGCTTCGCATGTTCATCACTGGGAGACTGTAGCGGCCGCAGCTCGCTGGAAATTTGCGGTCCATCCTGAAGGCATGGTTGCTTCATTGCTTTTGCTTCGCTACATTCGCAAGTCACGGCTGCACACCCTGAAGTTTGAGCTTGTGGCACACACGACGTTCCAATGCTTGCTTCACCAGGTTTCTTGTCAGGTGGAGGATGCTGCTGGAGGCTGGGCATCTTGTGCCTGACAGGTTTCGGGCATTCTGAAATAAAGGCAACGCATACACTACGCGAGCAACTGGGACGTTGTTGCACCCGAAAAAGCTCTTGAAGCTTCTGCATGTCATTTGAGAGAGGGAGATCTTGCATGACAAGAGGAACAGAGGCAACGCAGACATAAACAACTGCGACGTTCTTTCAACCGATGTCATGAGAGAGTGAGAGAGAGAGAGAGAGAGAGAGAGAGAGATTCGTTCGTCACCCCTCGCACCCGTTAACACGACGGGGGGGCCAGAGGCCCGAGGGCGTTGACCCGCCCTCATGCCCAGGAGAGAGAGAGAGAGAGAGAGAGAGAGAGAGAGAGAGAGACGGAGGCTTTCTCACATACGTTTGCAGAGGCTACACTCCCCTTTCTCATTACATGTTGTATCGGGAGATTGCTTCGCGGACCACTGAGCGGAAGCAACAAACAATGCAAGAGTAGGCCGAAGGTATTCGCACAAGACCTTGTTTCGAGAGGTTGCCATCTTATGATTATTGATTAGACCCAAGCGCGAAGATTCGCCTTCAAATGAGCTAAAAACTCCTAGTATCCCCTTCATAGATTTTATTATTACCACCTTATACAATCTCCTACTTACAAACTTCTTAAGCTCCTCAGGGCACATCTCAAACGTCCCTATGTTGGTTGCAGGTGCGCCAACCTTTGCGGATAGATCTCCTGCAGGCGTGTGTGTTGCAGCACCTCCTGCAGCG